TATGGAGTGTGTACAATCACTAATGCATGCAGTTCTACCATACGTTTTAATTCAATACTGAATTAATGCCTCAGACCAACCGGGGCAAGTAAATAGAGAAATTTAACGATAAAGTCACCTAGCTTTCTAAGACCAGACAATTGTTTATTGGAGAATGGTATCATGCTTAAAATCAATACTGTTATTTGTCCTCACTCTTTTCAGAATCTACAGATAATATGTTTAATAAAATGCTATATGACACAAGTTGGATGTAGTTTGCTCTAACTACTACAATGCAAGATTATGGCCAATGCACTCTTGTCATCGTGAGAAACTTCACTAAAGTCAAGAAAGTATAACAACAAGAGACAGATATCACTGAGTGATAACTCTCTACTCGTGTCCATTTTTCTACACAATTCACAAGCAAAGAAGGCTGCCCTTTGTGATGGACTACTTTTTATTCTTTGAATTTTGTATGTGAGGTCATTTATATTTAAATTTCTATTTGATAATTCCAACCCTGATTAATATCTGAGTCTGGTCATATTGATACATAGCCTCTTGACAGTATGTATTTTTTTCTTATTTTTTAATATGTCATGTAGCTTTTTATTGAAAGATGGCTATAATGTATAGAGTAGTGGCTGAGGTAAATAGTAATTTTTCTGGAAAATGGGTATGCCTCTTTTGCAAGCTCTTTGTGGTTGGGCAGATTGAGTCCATCTGATACAGGGCAACAAGGGGCATTAAAACTGGTCAAGGACAGTGCCCAAAGAGTTTACTGGTTACTGTCTGAGTTCTTACTGCAGGCACAATTACAAGACTACTCCAGTTTAGAGAATAATAATGGGATTTACTTAACAGAGCAGGGGAAATCACAGAGTTATGGAGGCCAAAATGGCTGTTTACCTCACCCAAAGCAATGTCCAATGTTTTAAAGACACCTAAGATGGTGTCTTCCCACTACTGCCAACAGGAGCAAGTGGAAACCAGACTGTAGGCTGGGATCCAACTCACAACAACAGCAGAAGACACAATAGGAGATGACCCAGTGCAGCATCAGACAAGCAACACTCAAAACAGCAGCTGCAGCAGCCAAGGACCCAACAAACAGCCACACTCACACAGCTCAGTGAGGTGCCGGGCTCTGGGTCTTGGTCTTCCCTGCCAGGTTGTAACCGCAGCAAATCTAGGAACAGTTTGACTTGCTCGGCTACATGCAAAGCCTCTGAGCTTTTCCTCTCTGAGGCTGGTTCCTGGAAGCCTCGCCACATCCTTCAGAGGCCCTCAACAGCCCTCTGTGGGGGTAGAAATTTCTGACCTGGAATCGCTGAAGATCCCAAAGAATGCTGAAATTCCGAAAGCTGAATCTCAAACACTGAATCCAGGGGGCTGCTTCAGCAGTCCCTTAAATTTCTTACCAGCCTCCAGCCCCAGTATACTTTGTTAGCAGTTTCCCTGGGGCCTTTCATCCTCACCAGCACCCACCTCCAGGGGGCTCCACCTGTAACAGTCTTTGGCTTCAGCCACAGTTACACATTTAGCTAGAAGAGCTGGATTTTGTTGTTTTCCATTCAGATGTTTTCTCTATTATGCTGGTTCAAACTCTGTCTTAGTTAACTCCTGTATCTCTGCATTATTGGAATTAGACTTTCTTAGTGATATTGTTGTCTTTCTGAGGTTTGGTAGCCAAACTTCACCTTGTGTATTTACTAGGTCTTGGATGGAACAGTTATCAGCTAAGGTGTGGCAATCTTTAATGGTCTGAGTCCAGAGTAATCTTCTGTCCTTTTACTAATATAGTTTTTTCCATTTCTAATCTTAATACTCTTTCACCTGTGTGACCTAGAGATGGTTTATTGTTCTTGCCCCAAAACTTCTGCTTTATAGGAGAGACTCATCCAGTTAGATCTCTGTACCTGAGCTGCAGAAACTATTCCCATTTCCAAAGCCTGCACCACTAAGAGAAGCTCTCTTTTACCCACCCAGCCCTAAGCCTTTCTTGTGAATACTCGATAGGTCAAAGGAAAAGGGTCTGTCACTGGTTGCAAACTCTCCTTGTGTCTATAGATGCAATATATGCTATATATATTTTCATTTTAGTCCATACTCTGTCATTGGCAATTCATTAGCTGTTTTAAGTAAAATCATTATCTGCTTCTATGTTGATCTCATTTTCCTCCCATGCCTTAAAACTGAAGCCAAGCTGAGGTCAAGAAATCATTTGGTGGTTTTGTGTTCGTAAAAAATTTAATCTAGAGCAAGAGTCCTCATGAGACTTTCCAAGCCTTGGAAAAATGTAATGTCCCTAGTTGAAACAGGATTTCTCCTTCCAAATTTATCTGGGCTTGAGACATACATGTCACTTCAAAGGGTCTGCCCAATACCTGGTAGTGTTTCCCTTTATTCAATAACCCAGAGGATTAAGGTCATAAACAACACATCTTTCACTCCAAAATGAATCTCTAATTCAATGATTCTCAAATAGGTGCATCTGAATTACCCAGAGGGGCTGATGAATATGTATTGCTGGGTCCCATTCCTACCATTTCTGACTTCATAGGTCCGGCAAAACAGGCCCAACACTCTGTGAATATATTGTTGGTCATGGGGCCACACTTTGAGAATGCACTCTAAATTAAAATTCCTAAATAAAAGTGCATTATAGTTGAATGTTTGAAACATATTACTCATTTGGTACCTTTAAAAATCTATAGTAGGGCATTCTACGTGGTGCAGGGGTAAAAGACACAACTATCAAAATATCACCATCCACTGCAGCAAGAGTTTGATCCCCAGCTGGCCAGGGAGCAACCCACATGGCACAGCAGACCTCTCCTGTCCCAACTGCTGTTCCCCTCAGCAGTGTATTTCAGTAGATCTGCCTGTTCTGCTCCCCACTCTGTCTCTGGTGAATCCTCTGACCACACACACACACACACACACACACACACATATCTGGTCTACACCTCCATTCTTGTATGCATAAATAAATCTTTTAAAAAATCCATGGTGGGCCTCCCCGGTGGCACAGCAGTTGAGCACTGGGTTGCGAAGCTGCCTGCAGCCTCCGTGGCGCCGGTTTGATCCCCGGCTGCTCCCCGGCCACTGGAGGAGGGTCCCACATGGCGCGCAGACCTCTCCTGCCGCCCGCTGCTCCCCTCAGCAGTGTACTTCGGTCTTTCTGCCTGCTCTGCTCCCCACTCTGGCTCTGGTGAATTCTCTCACCCTCCCGCGCTTCTGACTGTACCCAGTGCATGTATAAACAAAAACAAACAAACAAATAAACAAATAAATAAATAAATAAAGCATACCTCTATAAAAAAAAAAAAATCCATGGTAAAGAAGTGTCACAGATATATTATGTTCAAAATATTGAGTCAATGTTACTTCAGTGCTTTAAGTGTTTTCTGAGTCAGAGAGAGAGAGCTCTACATGAGACTTCAAGTTTAATTTTTCTCTGTCCTAATTTTTTGAAAGTTGATCATTGTATATTGGTGTGTCTCAACATGCCAAATAGAGACATGCTATGCTTGAAAAATAATTTTAAGTACATATTATCAGAACACTTAAAATCCTGTCTAAGCATGGACTATTAACATTTCTCAAATTATGCAAGAATAAAAACCAAAATCTTCCAGATTGTCCTTATAGTAGTATTGCAAGGAGGCATAGTAAAAAGTACAACTTTCAGTGAGTAAAATTATAAGTAATTCAGTTTTTGTTATTTCTTTAAATAACATATTTCCTCCAAGGCACTGAGGATATTTTAATAACTTTAATTTCACTTTCTCTAAAGTGGATAATCAACAAGCACTTCTAAGTGTAATTTAATGAGAAGCAAAAAAAAAAAAAGTTAAAGAATTTATTAAGCTTAGCATTTTAAAACCTTCCAAAAAAAATAAACAAGTTGGACCAGCTGGCTCAAATAAGTAAGGCTAACACACACAAAAAAAAATTGTAGATATCTGTCCATCTGTCTATCTATCATCTACCTATCTATCCCTCCATTAATCTATTATTTATCTCTGTTTTTTGAATTTAGAATATAAAATTTCCAGAACTTAAAAAAAGTTAGTCACTGATTGTCACTTGCAACTCAAACTAATAGGCTGGATGGTGGTAAGTATAGAGATTATTTTTTAAAGAGAATGACAAAATGCAGTCTTCTGTGAGCACTTAGAGTTGTGCAGTCTCTTAAGACACTGTTACTATATCACTCAGCACAGTATCCAGTGATACACTGATTGATGTATAGAAAATTACATCAAGAAGGTTAGCATGTTTAGGTAAAAGTGTGCAGATAAAAATCAGTCCTCCAATGTCAAACCAAAAGGAATAAAGATACAGGGTAGTACTCAAACTTCTTCTTAATGAGATTTTAAACTCTAGAATCCTGAACAACTTTATTTTCATCCTTTTATTAGCTATTCTTAATATTAGATCAAATGATAATAGGCATTCTATAATTTACAAAATACTTATTAAAATGTTTAATTATTCATAGGTTCTAGGCCTTATTTCAAGCAGTTAGAATATCTTATCTCATTTAACTGCACTCCCTCCCCAAAATAAAGTCTTATAGAAATGTATTTTTTTTTAAACAATTTTTTTTAAGACTTATTTATTTACTTATACAAGCACTGGATATAGTCAGAAGCATGGGAGGGTGAGAGAATTCACCGGAGCTGGGAGCAGAACAGGCAGACTGACAAAGTACACTGCTGAGGGGCGCAGCGGGCATGGCAGGAGAGGTCCGTGGGCCATGTGGGACCCTTGCCTGCGGCCGGGGATCTAACCAGCTCTGCAGAGGCTGCAGGCAGCTTCGCAGCCCAGCGCTCAACCGCTGCGCCACCGGGGAGGCCCAGAAATGTAATATTGTTATGCCCATTGTACGGATGAGAAGACTGGAGAAAGTGAGGTTATGGTTTGCCCAGGGTCACCAATTTCTGAGTTTCCATTAGCAATAATCCAATAGGTCCCTCTTCAAGATTTCAGTCACAGAACTTGTTCAGATAAAGTGTTTAATATAATAATCATGACATTCACATGAATGCAAGCAGTTTCCCCCATTGCATAGATGAAAAGTAAAGCTCAAAATTATTACATAGCTTGTAGGTTCTGGATGAAGCTGACTTAGATGCTAACTTTAGTCCTCTCTTGCAATGTGATTCATCAAATTCATTTTCTGGCTTGGGATTCTCTCTGTAAAATATTGATACATTTATGTACTTTGTAGGACAGTTTTTAGCATTAAAATACTGCATATTTTAATAACCAATAACTGGTAGTTATTGTAAACTAATCAAGGCTCTCTAAAATAGCTCTTAACTGGAAGATATGATTTTGGGCATCTGATCACTGCTAAGTATTTCTACTATTTCACTTGTTCCTGAAACATATCCAAGATACTGGAATTATCAAAAGATAACTCTGCTTGGGTCAATAAATATAAGCATTGGAAAAGAAAGCAGTTGCCCTGAAAGTCACTTGAAACTCCTACAAGCAACATGGATAATATGTTTCAAATAGTTATTTTCATGCAATTTTAAGACTCAGTTTCAGGCATTAATTAAATGACAAACTTGTGATTAGCACTCAACAGAATAACAGTGGTGATTTTTGCAACAATTTGATATATTCTTGAGTATAAAAAGCTATAGTAACATTGCCTTTTAATTTAAATAAGTCAAAATAAAGTTTTTAGGTGTTCCCAATGTAGAAAACACTGCTGGTCATACACTTGAATTTATGACCATTTATTTCTAGCCCCTAGAAATAAATGCAGGTTTTATCTAAGAATTACAGAACAATCATACCATATTCATTCTATACCCACAATTCACCTTTCTACTCTCACAAATGATTAAACATACTCCATCCTTAAGGTTACCTAAAGGCACACATAATAAGGATATTGGAGTTCATTTCTTCTCTTGGGATGCCATATTAATGAGGTAAAGCAAGCTCTAAGACTACCACTTTTGACTTTCAATCCCCTACAAAAGAGCAGGCAAATCTGCTTTGGAGCCTGTTCTAGAAAAATACATGTCTACATATTTGGATGTCTATCTCATAGTAATTCTGTATTGGTCTGAGGTCATCATCTTGGAGTAATTAATGTAAATTTGCAAGCATTATCTTCAGTGCATATATTTCCTTTTAGTGAATTTATTTCCCTTTGTGTTGTAAAGGTGAACCTTTAAGAGTGTTAGCGTGTTCCAAGTCCTTCTAAGCTAAATACTCTCTTAATGAACCTTTTAATGTCTTGTAAAATGCCATATCAAAAAAAAAATTACAATATCATGAAACCATCTTAGATTTTATCCACAGTTGAGTTGCCTACATTAGACAGGAATTTTTTTTATTACATATCTACAGATGTTGGAGAGTAAGGGCAAAACTGTTACATAATATTATTATGTCAGAAATAATAGAAATATAAGCTTCTTGCTGGAATGTGGCTAGTTTGTCATTACTTCTCATGTCATTACCTTTGATGTTTATATTTCATGATTAAAAATTTTTATTTATGCTCGTCATAAGGGTGCTTTGGAAAAAGAAGATAATGTGAACTAATAAAGTTTGAACAAAATAAGCACAATATCCTGAGATATACACTATATTCATTTCTCTTTATAAAAATAATAAATTAAGTAAAAAGCTTGAAATATTAAGTTAACTTTTATACTGATATACTTTGTAACTTTATACTGACACATTTTATAACTAAAAACTAATATATCACACCCTCAATTTTTTTTATTGCCAATTGTCTCTGTGTATGTATTGTGATTACCTAATTTGACTAAAAATCTCTTTGCTTTACATTGAATCATATATCCTGGCCATGTTTCCCATGCCTTAACATTAGGGTACTTTTTATATTAATAAATTATTAATTTATAAATAATAAATAAATTGCAGTATTTGAATTTAAAATAAAAGAATTAAACTAATAACAATTTGTTAAAAGAGGAAGAAATTATTACTGGGTCTTATCATGTTTATGACAAAGAAGAGCATATATGCCCAAAAGAGAATGAAATAGAAGTCTTCATATCTGGAAGTCCTCTAGCATTCCCACTTATTCCATTTTTTTTGCAAATCAATCTAACTGAAGTTCAGTGCATGGAAAGGGGCAATTCATCAGTCCTAAGTGATTGACATTTACATTAGGATCTTTTGAAAAATTTGAATTCAAATCTCTCCTAATACATAAAATGTAGTTGCTTACACTCAAAGTGGGCTTGGTCAAATAGATTAAATCTACTCATATCCTCCACATGGCAAAATAAACATTAATATCCTGCGAAACTTGGTCAACCACCTCTATGTTGGCAAAAGTGAGTTGAGTCACTTCTGAAATGGTGTCTTGACTTTTTATTAGAGGGACAGACACCAACAAAATGACAACCACCGTGAGTCTCTGAGCTGGAATACCTTCTTTGGTAGGTGTTAGGGCTGTTGATATATAATTCAGACTTCCTCTGCCAGACAAATATATCTCTTTGAAATTAGGCATGGCCTTTAACTTACTTTGATGAAAAAAATGTGAGAAATGAGGTGTGTTTCTCAGAGGTGAGAAATTTAAGAGCCAATGTGTGATGTGCATGCTCCCTGCCACTGCCCAGGTTGTATAGTGTGTGTGTAGAGATAGAGCATCTGTGACTTTAAGTTTCTCACACTGATTTGCTGACCTGTTTTGCTTATATAACCTGAGTGAAAAATCTACGTATTGTGTCAGAACAGTTTTTGTATTTATCGCCACAGCAAGCAGCCTAGTCCAATGGATACACAGCTATTCTTATTTTGAGAAGAGTCAATTTAGATCCCTCTTGAAAATTTCCCCAGTCCTCTTTGAAGCTCAGTGTGTTCCATAACTTATGAATAAAACACCTTGACCCTGGAGAAACAAAATTGTTGATGACTTGACCAAATGTGTCTAAGTAGAGAGTAATTTTCCACTTTACTAATTTCATTTCAAAACAGTGCAACCTGTAGTAATGCCCTAAAGGTAACTTAGCAACCTAGCAACTTCTACAAATTATGGGTGAGAGAGCTCATTAGAAAATGATTTCTGAATATTTCTGTGTTTCCTATACAGAGAAAGTCCACTTAACAAAATTCAGATAACAATTTTAAGCAGAGATTTAAAATGATTTTATGAAAAAAATGTTAGTTATAATGTTATCTTTTTTCTGTGGTTATCAAGACTGCAGAACAAAGGTTGCAGTTAAAAACATTATCATTATATAACAAGAAAATGCTTTGATTGAAAAAAGAAAGTAAACATGTTTTCTAGTGCTTGATATAATTCAGTCCATTCACTAACACCATGAAACATGGTTCACCCTTTCAATCTCAGTTTCTTCTGTGAAAGGAGTAATAGGACTCACTAGAAGAGGCTGTAAGAGTTCATTGTCATTATTATTGCTGTTGGTTGAGAGGCAGATAGGAGGAAATACATCAGTGAAATCTTTAAAATATGGGAGCTCAGTGCTTGGTGTTGAGATATTTTTCTTCCTATCTTTCCGTCAAATACTATCCACTGAAGTTTTGAATTTTTAGCTGATGTGGTTGTTAAAAATTGAAGTTGGGTATAAACAATTCTATATAATCCAAATCCAATTCCATTATCAGCTGATAAAGTAGTGTGTTTGGGCGAGCTGTGTCTGTGGATAATGCTTAAGAAAAGCATTTGGACTTGAACCCTAATAACACAACCCAGGTTTCCTATGGTCATAAGTCAAATAAAGATTTATCCTTTCATCACGGAGCTCCCTTATCTTCCTTTCTCTTCTTTCCAAACCATCCTACATTCCTGATTTATATTCCTTCAGGAAGAAATAGGGTCATGATTTAGTGTGCCTGCTTTCTCAATAAGTCTGAAGGAATTGTGAAAAGAGTAGATCTTCCTACTAATTTACCTCATTCCATTATGAGTTAATATTCCCCAACTGAACACTCAGCATTTTAAAGTACTGGGCAGAAAAAATGGTTGACACAAGCTGCAGTGCTCTACCATAATGAATCCATGAGTTAAAAATTTTGTGGCTGGAAACAAATATTACTTGTACACTTGGGTAGCCCATAAAAAAGGGAACTAAATTTTTTGAAAGCCTACTATGTATTGTAGGCTTTATAATTGAGATTTATAATTCAATGAGTTGGGTGTTATTATCCTCATATTTCAAAAAAGGAAACTTGGTTCAGAGAGGCAGAGGAATTGACTTAATTTGTATAACTTATACTTTTTTAGAATAGGGACTGAATTTTAAGTCTCATGCCCAACTCCTGATTTCATTGGGACATCATGCTGACCTCTCTTAAGACAATTACAATTTAAATAATTAAGCAACTCACTCTACCTCTATGAACCTCAGTTTCCTCTTTTTGGGCCATGATGATAATACTAACTCCTAAGATTAGAAAAAGGAAATTGAAGAACATTCCAAACAAGGTTACAGTGAAAAATAAACATAGAATAGACATGGACAACAGCAATAAGATGGAAGAGGACTCTCTGCAGAGATGTGTTAGCACGTAAACATCAAGGTGAAATGGGACCATGATTTCTAGAGCCCTGGATTTCAGATATTTGTATCATAATAATATTGAACAATGGTGAACACCTATTAGTTATTAGGTATAAAATGATAGATGTAAAACCTAAATTTAATTTAGATATGTATTTTCACAGGATTATTTCTTCAATGATCTGCTGTTATCACTACAGGGTTTATTGCCTAGAATGTGGAGACTTACACAATGGAGTTCTAGTTCTGCCACTAAATAATAAGGGACTACCATTACCTCACAAGATGTATTTCTGTCATTTTAAAAATGACAATATTAAAATAGGTTGTTCTTACTAGTTTATGATTGTAAGTATACAAAGAACATTTAAAATTATGGGCTGTAGAGGGAAAACATAACTGACCTAGAGTTTTCTTTCTCCTACTTTTTAGCTCTTAAAACTTAAAAAATATATTTAATCCCTTTAGTTCTTAGTTCCAATAATTGTGGAATGTGATTGATGATAATACACACTCCTTGGAGGCTGCCAATAGGATTAGCAATAAGATAATAATGCAAACTTATATAACGTGAGATAGAATATAGATCCAATAAAAGTTAGATGTAATTATAGTGAGTAATACATTCTTAAGCATTCCACAAAAAAGGGATCTGAGTGTGACTTC